GCCTCAAACTCATAGAGATCCACCTGGCTGTGCCTCCCAAGTGCTGGGATTAAAGGTGTGTGCCACCACTGCCTGGCTAAGACTTTTATCGTAACAAATTTTTATTATTTTCATTAGTTAAGTCTTTCTAAGGGTTGTATCTTATCAGCCAAAATTTCGTTTTCATTAGTAAGTCGTTCTAAGGATTCTATTTTTATCAAATTTGAATTTTTGATAGTTATCAAGCCACCTTTTAAAGGAAAAAATATGAATTATTGTCTTAGGGTTTACTACTGCTGTGAAGAGACACCATGACCACGGAAATGCTTATAGAAAAAAGCATTTAATTGAGAATGGCTAGCTTACAGTTTCAGAGGTTTGGTCCACTATGATCACAAAGGGGAGCATGGAAGCATGCAGGCAGATGTGATGCTGGAGTTGAGAGTGCTACATCTTGCAGGCAACAGGAAGTCGACTGACTGCCACACTGAGGTAAACTTGAGAAAAAGAGACCTCAAAGCCCACCAATACAATGAAATACTTCCTTCAACAAGGCCACACCTCCTAATAGTGCCACTCCCTTTGGGGGCTATTTTCTTTCAAACCACCTCAATTACTAAACTGATAGTAGTTATAATCAGCATTATGTCAATGCCAGCTCAGTGGTTTATCCCCTCATTTATGTTTTCCATTTGCAAGCCATTCATAGTAGCACTATACAGAGTCCCAACTCCCTACTTTGTAACATTTCCAATTCTTAACCTTTAATATTGTTTAACTCTCCTTAAGGACTTGCCAAGTGTCTAACCAAATCTGCTGGTTTCTCAGTTTGTCTGCAGCAACAGAGCTGTCATCAGAGACAGCTGAAATTTTCAAGCATGAGCCCATGTTCTAGAGTCCTGCAGTCTTGCAGAGGCCCAGGGGGTGGCTTCAGTGGCACCAGCTGGCAAGTTTTGTCCGTCTGTGTGGCCATGCCATGCACTGGAGCACCATATGCTGTTTTTCTGCCAGCACAGAGGCTGCACATGAATCTAATGATATTTTAATTATTGTCTGAAGCCTCATGGCCCCTCAAGCTACGGCCTGGTGGGGCTTATTTACAATAAGACTCAGGAGTCAAAGGCTGGGGTAAAAACCTGCTAGCTCAAAGATGCTAGTAGGAACTAGCTGATATTTCTTCTTGGCCAGAGACACTACAAGAGACCCACCTCTTCCCTTGTTCCAGAACCAAGAGGAAGATCAAACTCCAGTCCTCACCCTTTCCTTCCTGTGCATCATCTCTATTCAAATTGCTGGCTTCTCTACCTGCTAATTCTGGGCAGCTAGGTTTAACTTTATTGGCAAGGAGTGTCAGAATACAATCAAAATATTCCACAACAGAAAGAGATGGTGGAAATGATGTAATTTTAATCCCCAAAATTATGTTAAAAAGTTGAAACAGACTTCATGACTATGTGATCCAGAGACTAGGGATTTGCATGAGAGCACACCAAATATTACTCAAGGCTTTTCTCTAAGGCTGTATATCATAATCTGGAAAATACAATCATGTTAGGTAGGGCCACACCATCTTACCCAGATCTATTTTGGTTGAACTAGAGAAATTACAGTAATTTGGTTTCACAATATGTTCAGTTCCCCATCCAGATTCTTGATTTCCTGGTCTGTGGCCAGTTAGGACACTTATCAATAATCTAAGATTGATTACCTCAGTACTCATAGCTAATGTCAACTACTGTCACAGCAGGAAAACCTTTACCCTCCTTCTTGCCCATAGCTTTCTGCGCTGTGATGACACCTGCTTTAAAGTTGGTCAGTGAACTCAGTTCTTACATAGGTCCCTCTGCATTTGTAAGTTCCCAATAAAAGCCAAAGAGGTTAGAGGACTCTTGTTCATTGGTCTATTTTTCCTTCTCACAGACCAGTTAAGATCCAGACTAGGAGTGGCAGGACTGTCTTCCCATCCCTGGGCAGCAGAGGCAGGATTAAATATTCAAAGCAATTCTCAATTACAGTGTGAGACAAGCCTGAGCTATGGGAAAAACTGCTCTGAACAGATATAATCAATAGCACCTGAGAAAAATGGAAAGAAATTATTAATGACTAGGAAATATTTGAAAATAAAGACATGAAGATTAGAGCAGTGATGCATATAAAGAAAATCAAACTTTAAAATTGAAAACAATAACTGACTTTTTAAAAAGCTGGCTCTACTGGCTCTAAAAAAAAAAAAGAGCAGGCCTTTCTCTGGTTGTCTCTGGTTGAAAGAATGGCATTAATAAGATACTGTTTGACCTTGCCCCTATGTGCAATGTTAGCTGCTGAGATCTGTAACCTGACATACACAGTTCCAGCCAATGGCCTTTTACTCAACCTGCTGAGCTGACTTAACTGTGCCAACTAAGACTGCATATATCTGCAAAGCAGAGCACCCTAGTTGGAATTTCAATATTTATGGGCTCAAGCTCACCTCCCCAAATTGTACAGCCACCAATCTGGCCTGGCTTCATTAACATGAGATAAATAAATATATGCTGGTAAATTACAAAATCGCTCCCCCTGCCACAATCAGGTCCTTTTTCATAATGGGGACTCCATCAGCTGATTGCCTACCCTGTTTCCACTGTGGTGTACACAATAAACTGTTCTTCCTATTCTGGTGTGAAGGCAGAAACTATGATCCTCATGCAAATCCTTTTCCAGTGACTGCAATGGATAGTTTACTACATGACTCAAATGAGTAATTTTAAAACTCAGTGGTGGTACAGCCCTTTATTTTAATAATTTAGTTGGTTTAATCAAGAGAACAGCAAGGTCATGGCCCTGGAGAGTAACGGAAGGGGATCAAGGCCACCTAAGTCAACATAAGAGAGCTTGTCTCAGAAACAGTTTTCTACAACACTGGAGGTACAGCTCTTCTAGAATTAATATACCTTCCATGGGAGAAATCACTCCATACGCTTAAAGTTATAAACAATAATCTCTTTAACAAAAGTGTGCATCTGGCTAACACTAAAAGAGGAGCCAGCCTAGAATAGACTTTACATTCCTCATATGCTGTCATCCTCAAGTCTCTTTTAGGTTCAGGTTCCAGGTTGTACATTGAACAATTTATTTATTTATTTATTTATTTATTTATTTATTTATTTATTTATTTATTTATTTATTTTTTTGGTTTTTCGAAACAGGGTTTCTCTGTGTAGCTTTGCGCCTTTCCTGGGACTCACTTGGTAGCCCAGGCTGGCCTCGAACTCACAGAGATCCGCCTGGCTCTGCCTCCCGAGTGCTGGGATTAAAGGCGTGCGCCACCACCGCCCGGCTACATTGAACAATTTAAAGGACAGGAGACTGCAAGTCTACCACTTGGGCAGATGGAGATTTACAGAGGAAATCTATCTTTTAGATCATACGATGTACATTTAAAAGATGTTATCAATGGATTTAAAAGAATTGCCACAATTCTTACACATACAAAGGGCAGAGAACACAAATACAGAAAATATCAAGGGATAGTCACCTATCAGCACTGTGGATGCTGTTCTTAGATGAATAGTCTTGCTGAGCAACTCTATCCTCAGGATAAGGCTGATTTGCTTCAAAGCAGGCTGGCTCAGAGGAAGGTCACAGCTGCTTCACTTTAACTAGCTCTGCCTGCTGTCTCAGGGCTGTGACATCACTGTAGAGAATTCCATTTTTAAGCTCTATTTCTGTGTTTTGTATGAGTGTTTGCCTGCAAGTGTTTGTGCACAGTACCTGCAGAGGCCAGAAGAGGAAATCAGATCCCTTGGGATTGCAGTTACAGGAGATGGTTAGCTACCATGTGGTTTCTGGGAATGGAGCCTGTGTCCTCCATAACAACACCCAGGGCTCTTAACTGCTAAGCTGTCTCTCTAGTCAACTCTTTATTAAAAATTCATTTTTATATACTTTAAATAAAATATATTACATCATTTTCCCCTTCCTGTCCTCTCTCCATCCCTTCACAAATTCTTCCCTTCCAATTTCATTCTTGTTAAGCATGTGTGATTAAGCTTGCACAAATACATGAATAAAATCTGCTGAGTCCTTTTCTGTTGGTTGTGTATATGATTTCAGGGCTGAACACACTGCATTGGATATGCAATTAGGGAGCTCATCCCTGCCTAAGGCTAATTCTCCCACTTGGAGGAAAATGCCACTGTTTAATGAACAACAGGAGTCAGACTCTGAAGTGACCTAGGCTGCCTTGGACAAGAAACATTATTAATAGAAAACCTGGGGTGTAAATACCTCAGCTAACACTTGTTGGTGCCATGCACTGAAGTTCTGGAGCTACAGGGAAAGCTATGGACACTGGCCAGAACCAATCATAGGACACTGGCCAGAACCAATCATAGTCTCCCTTAGTTCTTTTGGACTCCCACCATACTCCATTGACCATTTTAACCTTAGATGATTTTGAAATCATGAAATTCCTGCCACTGCTTCCTAAGTACCATGATTACAAGTCTGTGACACCATGCCCGCTTAGGTGGCTTCAACTTCATTTAGTGAGTCATTAGAATGATGGGATGAGTAAGAGGAGCAGTTACACTTAAGTACATTCAAAACCAATGATCTTCATGAGCCTGGGTTTCACCATCTGTAGAATAAGGACAGTACTCTGCCCCAGTTCCTTGATGAGTTATAACAGACTCAATGATAAAGAAAAACAATACTCATCACAATTGGAAGACAGTGGACTTTAAGGTAAGAACACTGTATTTAACGAGAGCCTTCTTCTGTTACTGGAATTAGGACCAGAGCCTGTGTCCTGGCTACCCTAACCAGCCAGGCTCAGCTACTCATCCTTATTAAGCCAATTAAAAGAACCAACTTAACAAATGGTGATATGCCCACCTATAATGCAGATACTCTGGAGGCAATGTGGGCAGATCTCCTTGATGTCCTAGGACAGCCTAGTCTATACAGTCAGTTCTACGTCAGACAGAGAATCAAGTGAGGCACTTGTTAAAATGAAAAAGAAAAAAGAAAACTACTAATAAAAATTAAAACATGATATTTATTCAGTATGCACAATTTAGAACAATTATGAAGATTTAAGGTAATCAATCCATCAGTAGAAGGCAAGAGATATGCACAACTAAGTAATCTAACCAAGCCATATAATAAATTTTTCCCATCCCTAAATCCATCCCCAATTCTCAGCTTTCTCTACTGCAAGGTATTCAGATAAGGACTAAATGTTTCTTCAACAGGAAAGTTTTCTTCTGGAGGACTCAGTCTTTTCCCAGAATGAGATTCCTGGGGAAATTAGAATTTCATGGGGTCCACTGTTACACTAGTTGTTAGCCAATGGTAAAGATGTAAATGTCTCTTTAGAATATCCTTATTCCCATCAGGTAGGCAAGTTCCCAGAATGACAGGGTGAGGACTGAAGAGCTTTAAGGTCCATGTGAAGACCTTTCATCAAGTGGGAGTCTGCAAGGTGCTGTCACTGACAGCTACATGTAGTTGCCAAAAAAAAAAAAAAGGAAAGAGTGGAAGACTTGGAGGGCACAGACCAACCATACCCATGAAGTTTTACACCTACATGAGGTATTTCTTGTTATTGAAGCGAAGTGTAAAATCTAAAAGGGTTACCTTATTGTTTAAATTCATAGGGCTTCTGTCCAGAGCTTACAGGTGCAAACAAAATAAAGAGGGACATCATAATGCTTGAACAGACTGTTGACACTTGTCAGATTTTTTTTCTCCAGAATAAATAATCTTGTGTAACTGAACATAAGTATGTTGGCTAAAGATCTTACCAAATCCTTTATAGTCAGATCTGCTTTGGTATGAGTTCTTTCAGGTTCTGAAAGACTAGTATGATATGCAAAGACTTTAACAGATTGATTATACATTAAAGGTTTTCCTCTTGTAAGAAGACTACCATGAAGTGCCAAGACTTTACCACACTGACTACATGTTTAGGGATTTTCTCCAGTATGATTTTTTCTCATGACTTCGAAGACTACTGTTACATGCAAAGGCTTAACCACATTGCTTGATTTCATAGGATTTCCTCCAGTATGTGTTCTTTTATGTATTTGAAGGCTACTGTGATGTGCAAAGGCTTTACTACATTGAGTACATTCATAGGGTTTCTCTCCAGTATGTGTTCTTTCATGTATTCGGAGATAATTGTGATGTGCAAAGGCTTTATCACATTGATTACATGTATATGGTTTCTCTCCAGTGTGTGTTTTTTTATGTATTTGGAGACTAGTGTGACGTGCAAAGGCTTTACCACATTCAGTACATTCATAGGGTTTCTCTCCAGTATGTGTTCTTCTATGTATTTGGAGATAACTATGATATGCAAAGGTTTTACCACATTCAGTGCATTCATAAGGTTTCTCTCCAGAATGTGTTCTTTTATGCATTCGGAGATAACTGTTATGTGCAAAGGCTTTACCACATTGATTGCATTTGCAGGTTTTCTCTGCAGAATGTGTTCTTTTATGCATCCGTAGATGCCTGTTATGGGCAAAGGTTTTACCACATTGAGTGCATTCATAGGGTTTCTCTCCAGGATGAATTCTTTCTTGATGCTGAAGACTATAGAAATGTGCACAGGCTTCATCATATTGAAGACATTCATAGGGTTTTTCTCCAGTATGAATTCTTTCATGCCTTTGAAGATGACTATGACGTGCAAAGGCTTCACCACATTCATTACATTTGTAGGGTTTCTCTCCTGTATGTGTTCTTTTATGTACTCGGAGACTATTGTGTTGTGAAAAGGCTTTACCACATTGATAACATACATAGGGTTTCTCTCCAGTATGTGTTCTTATATGTATTTGGAGACTAGTGGGTTGTGAAAAGGCTTTATCACATTGATTACATCTGTAGGGTTTCTCTCCAGTATGTGTTATTTTATGCCTTCGGAGGCTACTAAGATGTGCAAAGGTTTTACCACACTGCTTACATTCACAGGGCTTCTCTCCAGTATGTGTTCTTTTATGTATTCGGAGATAACTATGATGTGCAAAAGCTTTACCACACTGACTACATTGATTGCGTTTCTCTCCAGCAGGAATTATTTCATGACTTTGAAGATGACTGTCATATGCAAAGGCTTTACCACTTTGAGTATATCCACAGGATTTCACTCCGGTATGATTTCTTTCATGCCTGCAAAGATAATTGACACATGTAAAAACTTTACCAAATACATTATATTCATTTTTACCTGAATGAATTAATTTTACAATTTGGTCTAATTGTAAAGATGAATCAGATCTTAAAGTTTTATCACTTTGTTTACACTCACAGTATTCTCCTTCATTAAGGGTTGTTTTGTGTCTTTGAAGATACTTGTGATGGCAAAGAGCCTTTCTCACATGTCTCACATTTATAGCATAATTTATGTGAGTTTTTTCACATAGTTTTTCACATAGTTGAAGGGAACTGGAAAAACTCAGAACTCTATCACACTGATTGCATTCATACATTTTCCAATAATTCATATTTGCATAGTGAATCAGAACAAATGGAAGAATTTCTACATTTCTACTACTTATAGGGCTTTTCTACAGTGTTAAGTTTGTTAATGTATTCCCAATGAAGTTGGAAAAATCAATGAATTGCAAACTTGTATCACATTCAACAAGTCTACTTAAAGGGGGACTACAACATACTATTCTGGGGCAGAGAGAAAGGTATATTGCTTCTTTCCATATTCACATGGCTTGTATTCAGAGAAAAATATGAAACACCTAATAAAGGAAGAATAACTAATAAAAGGTTTCCACAGTGCATTCATACCATTTGTCTTTTGGTTCCTCAGAGACCTGTGGTATAGAGGTTGAGGTTTCTCCCCAACAATCTTCTTGATTCTCATAAACTGCCCCTCTCATTAAACTTAGTAAGGTTCCCAACAAGTATTTGAGTAACACCAGCTTTACCATGGACTGTTTGCTTAGTAGAAGAGTTTGGACATATACTTATCACCTGTTCACCATGTGTAACTTTTGGAATATCTGAGTGGTATGAAATTACATAGATTGGCACTTTACAGCACAGCTGTCATGGGGCTATGATTCAAAAGGCGATATCTGTTGAGGCATTTGTTTTCTTGTCTTCTTTCATATAAGAATGCCTTGCAAACACAAATCAGCTCCCTAACATTGAGGTACATAGTTTTGTGAGAATTTAATAATCACCACTACACTTTAAGGTTGTGCTTATTTCCACTATTACTTTGCCTTAAAACTTCCAGTTCCCATTAAAATTTCTTAAGAGCCACAATTTGTATCCAATTGCACATCAAAATTACCTTCCATGTCTTCTAGAACTTTGACAATGTTCTTCATTATTATTGTCTTCCCAACTGTAGCCTAAAATATAGGACCAGAAAATGTATGATATATTATTAGAAATTATGTATAATTTAAGTTATTATCTTCAGTGAACCTTAGAACTCTGCCTGATTTATTTACCTCATTCTTCCTCTTTCTCAATCAAAATTACAAAAGAGCATTAATAACAAAGAAGCAGTTGCCCCCTTATTTTAAAAAGTGAAGTAAAATTCAGTCTTACCTATAGTAGTGAGGTTCCTGTAGGTCTCTAGCATCACATCTTTGTAGAGATTCTTTTGGGAGAGATCCAGCAAAGCCCACTCTTCTTGAGTGAAGTCGACATGTACATCATCATAGGTCACTGCATTCTAAAATATCCCATACATGTGTATAACAGAAAGCATGATACGAACAGCATTGTAAATGCATACTTGTTTGACAATATATTCATGTAATTCGGGTGCTTCCCATACTTATTCATTCCCTAACACAGAATTTTGACTGTAATCACCAAGTCACTTTAGAAGGAAACTAATGTAAGAGTGAGAACCCTCAAGGGCTAAGTAATATCTCCCAAGGAGACATTATAGATTGGAGCCCTTATGGCTTCCCTCAAGGAAAATATTCTCACTCAGAATTAAGATAACACAGTTATAGCTCAAATGGAACTGTAGAAATTCTTTCTATTGTTAATGAACCTCTCCAATAGCATGGAGTTGGAATGTCAAGTTCTCTCTGCAATTTGACAACTCAGTTCAGATTAACTTATGGAAATTAGCAAGTTCCTTCCACCCTATTAAAGCATGGAAAGAAGAGTTAAAACAATAAGGAAGATAAGTGTACTTTGTCTTTTGGATTAAATCAAAGTCAGCTCTTTTTTTTTTTTTTTGGTTTTTCGAGACAGGGTTCCTCTGTGTAGCTTTGGAGCCTGTCCTGGAATTCACTCTGTAGCCCAGGCTGGTCTCCAACTCACAGAGATCCACCTGCCTCTGCCTCCCGAGTGCTGGGATTAAAGGTGTGCACCACCACCGCCCAGCTCAGTTTATTATTTATTCATGCCATGATCATACAGTGACCCCTGAATATATCCCAGACCCTTTGCTTGGTGCTAGAATTACCAGTAGGCAGGATAGTCCCCTGCCCTCTGACTGATGTAGTCTCCCCAAAAGGGAAAGCACTTTGGGGAAACACAATGCCCTCAGATGTTCTTGCATTCAGGTGCCAGCCTATATTTGCCTGGAGTTTCCAGCAGCCAGGGGTTCTGCCATAGCTTCTAAGCTCCTCAGATGCCTTTGTGTTGAAGGCTTGGTCCTCAACCTTAGGTCCTGTCAGGAAGCTGTGAGGCCTCCAGCATGGCTGGCTCTGTATCCCATTACATGTTGCTCCTTGGATGGCCCCCTGGTGTCTCTCTCAAAGTCAGCTCTTTATAGCATGTGTACCACTACCTTATTTACCACTGAAGGGGCCCATACAATGGCACCCTAATAATTATAGCATCACTTGTGAATGCTATACTATCCATACTTGTGTTAATTCTAGTATGTCTTTAAATGTAACCTCTGAAGTTTATACAGTCTTAGAGCAAGGCCAGCAGCCTGAACACCAGTGAAGTTGTCAAGGCCATGGCAAGGCTCACCTGTGATGATCCTAGTGCAGAAGCTTGCTGAAAGAATATTAAGAAGAACTCGTCGAATGATCAGACTGGTCATTGCTATACTTATGGGAATTGTTGCATTGGCTGTTACTGCTACAACAGCAGGACTGGCACTTCATAAAGAAATTCAAATGGCTGAGTTTGCAATCCAATAACTCAAAAGACTCAGGCAGTATTGATGTCATGAATACATGCTATCTTGGGAAACAGAATGATGCCCTCTGCCAAATTTCAAAATTCAAGATGTGGATAAAGATCACCACAGCAGAATATGCTTGACATGTATAAAAACTATCATTTCAGGCCCATCAGCAAATAATCTGAAAACAAAAAAGAGCCAGGAGTGTTAGCCCACTTTTGATCCCAGCACTTGGAAGCCAGAGTAAGGTGGTTCCCCAAGTTGGAGGCAAGTATGACCTACACTCAGGACAACCAGGGCTACACTGAGAAACCTTGTCTTCAGCTGGGCAGTGGTGGCACATGCCTTTAATCCCAGGACTTAGGAGGCAGAGGCAGGAGGATTTCTGTGAGCTCGAGGTCAGCCTGGTCTACAGAGGGAGTTCCAGGACAGGCTCCAAAGTTACACAGAGAAATTCTGCCTTGAAAACAACAACAACAACAAAAAACCAAAAAATAAAAAAAAAAAAGAAACCTTGTCTTCACAAACAAACAAACATATAAAAACATCAGGGCAGCAAAATGGTTTAGCACTGAATAGCAATGGCTTCTAATGTATCCTTTGTGATTTAGGGATAGAGTCTAAAATGGTGGTAATCAAGACCCAGCCATACCACTCTTGGGCATATATCCAAGGAATGCTCAATCATACTACAAAGATACATGCTCAATTATGTTCATAACAGCACTATTCATAATAGCCAGAACCTGGAAACAACCTAGATGCCCGTCAACTGAAGAATGGATTAAGAAAATGTGGTACATATACACAATGGAGTACTACTCAGCAGAGAAAAACAATGACAGCATGAAATTTGCAGGCAAATGGATAGAGCTAGAAAATACCATCCTGAGTGAGGTAACCCAAACCCAGAAGGACAAACATGGTATGTACTCACTCATAAGTGGATACTAGATATAAAGCAAAGAACAATCAGACTGCAACCCACAGAACCAGGGAGGCTACAGAGCAGGGGGGACCCTAGGATGACTGTGGCTTATAATAAGTTGATTTTACTCAATCACTGGGCAAGCCTCAGTGAAACATTTCACTATTAGGAAAAGAATTTGACTGGGGGGCGGTGGCACACACCTTTAATCCCAGCACTGGGGATGCAGAGCCAGGCAGATCTCTGTGAGTTCAAGGCCAGCCTGGTCTACAGAGCAAGATCCAGGAAAGGCGCAAAGCTACACAGAGAAACCTGTCTTGGGAAAAAAAAAGAAAAAGAATTTGCACTGTATCAAGCTGATAATAGAAAAATAAATAAAAATAAAAAAAAAAAGAACTGCTTTAGCTGTATCTTAAAATTTGTAGTAGGTTTTGCTTTCATTTTCATTTGACTCAAGGACCTTTTTAATTTCCTCCCAGATTTCCTTAGTGACCTTACTGGTCATCCAAGCATAAATTTGTTCAGTCTTTATGTTTGTATGGTTTTTGTAGATCTTCTTCCAGTGACTTCTAGTTTTATTGTACTATGATCTGACAAAATACAAAAAAATTATTTCTTAAAAAAATAAAAAATAAAAATAAATAAATAAAATGGTGGTAAAGACATGACAAAATAAGAAGGAAGTTGGCTGATCAGTTTCAACCACAACATAGGAGACACAAAGAACAGGAAATGGGTTGAAGCTATAGACATTCAAATCCCATCCCAAATGAGGAATTTCATCCAGAAAGTCTCCTCCTACAAAGGTTTCCATAAGTAATCCCAAAGAAAGTCACCAAGAGGAGACAAGTGTTCAAATACATCATCCCTACTCGGAGGTTTTTCAGTCAATCAACTACATTCTGACCCAGGTCAGACTTATGGTCATCTCCCCAAGCTTATGGTCATCATTCTGACCAGACTTGTGGTCATCCCATGATGAAAATGCATTTAGTCTAACTTCAATGATTCTCATAGTCTGCAACAGTCCCTATACTATTCCAATGCCCAAAGTCTCTTCTGATACTCAATGCAATCTCTTGACTTTGACATCTTGTAAAATCAGAAAACAAGTTACACCTTTCCAATATATAGAATACCCATTCCCATTCCAAAATATAGGAATGGGGACATAGTGAGGGAAGATTGGGCCAAGGAAAGACTGAAACCCATCAGGGCAAATACCAAATCCTGTACCTTTGTGTGAGAAACAGGGGGCTTCAGTAACAAAGGGCTCAGTTGGCCCTATCTCTGCAATCTTTCATACATTTCTCTCTTTGGTTACTTCTACTCCCTATATGCAGCTCTCTGTGGCAGATGTCTCATAGCTTAGGAATCTCAACATCTTGTGGTCTTCATCCTCCTATCTTCATACAATGAACTCTAACAGTCTATTCATTGGGACTCTGTCTTTGCCAAACACATGCCTGCAACAGTGCTGAACTGAAACTACTGAATAAGAATCGATGACCTTAACTTTTTCGTCTTTCTTGCTTCTACAACAAGCACAACATGGGAGATCCTGCCAAGTTTGGCTTCTAAATTAGGATGGACCCTACTATACTTAGACCACAGTTGCAACAGGTTCTGTATGAAGTTGCTTCCTGGGACTAGGAATCACTTTGCCTACTCCATCCATTAATTAAAGGCTTAGCAGGATGGATTGTTACCTTTAGGATACCTTGCTAGGCTTCCACTGTAGAGCAAGGGGCTTCCTGCCTCTGTTTCAGCCTGTGACTGCCATCTGAAACTACCTAGAGCTACTTTTCTCTACAATCCACAGATTATTCATTTATTTCTGCCCCACTTGCTCCTTTTTTGCACTGTAGTCATGAATGAGTCACCATTAATAACCATCCAACAGACTCAATATTCCATCTAAGAAATCAGCCCATTATTATTTTTTAATTCTGCCTTACTCAATTTCACATGACATGAACAGAGTAAGAAAGATTTGAAGCCAAATTATTACAGAATGATCCCTAGTTTAATTTTTTTTTTAATTTATTTATTACACATACAGTCTGTCTGTATACCAGAAGAGGGCACCAGATCTCATTACAGATGGCTGTGAGGCACCATGTGGTGGCTGGGAATTGAACTCAGGACCTCTGGAAGAGCAGCCAATGCTCTTAACCTCTGAGCCATCTCTCCAGCCCCCCTAGTTTAATTTTTTATGGACTCTATTTCCCACTAAAACTGTATGACCTTGAGCCCCTCCGTGTGCATTACTCTCAACATTCCCATCTCCCTGGTCCTACAAGAACAGTCAGTTAAACTCTATGCACAACTTTCTATGCCTTTTGCCATCTAAAGTCCTGGTATCTCCACATTCCTCCAAAAGACAACATTCCAGGTTCTGCCCAGCAACATAACCATTTTTGTTGTGCCATCTTTTATTCTAACTTGCTTCTCTGCTTCTGTGATTTAAATCCTCTAACCAAAAGCATCTCTGGTAATGAATGGGTTTATTTGGCTGATTCTGCCAGATCATATGCCATTGTGGAAGATTAGAATAGAAAATCAAGCTAGATGATGAAGGGGGAAACCACTGGCAAACATTGTTTCCTCTCTGCCTTGGTCAGTGTCCCATCCTCAGCTAGCTCTC